CACTAAATATAAGTCTGAATGTACTTTCATATGTAAAATGCATGGAAAACTTTGTTATGAAGGCTATCCGTGCAATCGATAATAACTATTGAACTCAATCTCTAATTTCTTAAAAACTTTTAATATACTGTATTAATACTTACATTGACTCAGCATAAGGAGGACTAGTTTTTTGTCCACTAATTATATAATATTTACAAATAAGTCACATAATTTTACTTAGAGTTTTCATTAAAGTCTACGACAAACTTCATAGTGCCAATTAGAAAACAATTTCACATACAAAATATTACCGTATATGAAATGCTCTTAAATGCAATTTTGTTGAGTATTTTTGGTGCAAATACACTACGATTCTCGACAATGCAAATGCAATGAATGACTCATAAATTCATATGAATTTTACAAAGAATTTCATTTTCTAAATATAGTCTTTATTTTATAATATCATACATTTTATTTGATTAGTTAATTGCTATTAAACTTTGAAATTCATGGCTATGTCTGAGCCTTCAATACATTCATACAATTCATTATTTATTGTATTAAAAAATATTTATCAATTATTATCACATTATCTGCCATATATAGCAAACAATATAACAGATAAATGTATACAATATAACAATAATCAGGTATTTCCCGGAAAAAATACAATTTATTATCACTAATAATTATTTAATTATAAAAATAACAATAAATTAAACAATATATTTGTACAGTAGATACAATTATAATGAAACGTTTCAATCATTAAAAACCAAAACTTATGACTAAATAATCATTGGCTTGAATTCAGTCCCAAAACCGCTATCAATCGCTCACTTCATGTCCGGCTCTTCGCTCATCTGTTTCTTAACCTTTAATAACATATTAGTGAACCAACTGTCCAATCGGGAAATGGAGTCGTACTGCTGTATGGTATACGTATAGCCGTCCACATCGTTCTCCTCCAGGCGCTCAAACAATTGCTTCAATAGTTTGCATTCGCGACAGTCGGTGAACTGAGGGTACATTTCCTCGTAGCGTTTGACAGCCAACTGTGCGTTCAGCTGATCGATGCACAGGTGGCAGAGGGCGGCCCTGAAGTAGTAGTCTTTGGCCGAGTATTTCAATAGCGACGACTCGATCGCCGTATTTGCCACCGACTCGTAGATATTAATCGCCTGATTGGGTGGACACAAGGCATTCAAATTAATTCTTAAAATATTTAAAATGTTTGTACGAAATGGGAAAGGGATGTATGGAACCGGTGAGGGGAAAGACTGTTTGGTAACAAAATTAGATTTCAACCATAAAATCCAATACAATTAACACAATATTATTTACACACTCGGGAATGGGATGACAAACACCGACTTTGTGTACATTAGGGGAATGGCATATACAGAATGTGGCATACCTTCTGGTACTGTTCCAACTGTGCGGCATAACGGGCCACAATCAACAGACACTTATTAGCGCTGGCAGTGGACTGTTCGCCCATATAATAGTCGGCCGCCTGTTCGTAGTGTAGGCACGCCTTCCCGATGTCGACGCACTCCTTCTCGTATATCTCAGCGACGGTGATGTGGTGTTTGGCGGCCATTGTAAACCTTCCCATATCTGTGTAGATCTCAATCACTTTCTGGAGACAATTGAGGGCTTTCTGGGGGTCGACCTTTCGGTAACAGTTGGCGGCGTCGATATAACAGACACCCGAGTCGTGTTTGTATTCAGACTTCTGGTGCAGTTGTGCCGCCTCGTAGAAAGCACTTCCAGCCTCTGTCATAGGGGACAGGGAGGGAAGGGTAGACGTTATGAGTGTTCATGAATTCAATTATAACAAACACTTTGCTTAAGACATGTTTGACAGACTAAACCACTACTTAAACAAATCATTTCATTAGAGCACCGGTAGTCATAAAGTGGTAGTCGTAGTGAGAGGTCAGGCATTAGAGGACAGGTATTCATTTACCGTAATTAGATTTGTACGGTATGTTTAAAACTATATTGACGACAAATGCTAACAGAAACCCCACATGTCTTGAGTTATGAATAACTAGGACACGGATTAAGCGCTGATAGTGTTTGCCATAATCTATGACTCATAAAACACATACCGTTCCACTTCTTGGCCATTTTGAAGCTATTGGCCGCACGAACGTAGAGTTCAATGGCCTCGTCCTGACGGGAACCACCCCTACAGAAATCACACAAACACATCCCTTAAGACATTATCATTACTATAGGCTATAGAAATGGTGGTAAACTTGCGATCGCGTCCACAACAACCTCTTGAGCACCACTACTACACCGCATACTTAATGTCTATTACAATGAACAGGGTATTATCAATGTGAAATCCACTCATATAGTGTTGATAATGGACTCAAGAGGTCGGTGACCACCACAACAAACCAACGGTGCGACGGATGACATACCCAACCAAACCGCTGAGGAATCCCTGAACAGACCGCGACTTCTTGCGCGCCTCAGCCAAGTATTGATTACCCTTTGCTTCCGCGTCTGCCATCGCTTCCAACTGATCCACTCGTGAGTCGTTGTGAGTCCACCACTGATTGTCTTCAGAAATCGGTGTCAAAACTCGCACTGATTTTGTGTTTACTTTCTATCCCTTTGCCTGCATTTCCATAATCACGTGATGTGTGAATCACTCAAAGGGTTACGTAATCAGTGACCGGTCCTCACGCGTGCGCACAACACGTGTGCCACTACTCGACGACTCATTGATTGGCAAAACTGAACGCAAAACCAAAACAAACCAAACGTTTCATTCATATATCAATCGGTGGTTAAGACTCGCGCGGATCAGCTCTTTGCCGATCAATTGAGTGACACAGCGATGGCCGACAGCGAAGCCAAAGGCAACCAATACTTGGCTGAGGCCCAGAAGAAGCTCAAGTCGTCGCAGGGCTTCTTCGGCGGTCTACTCGGGTATGATATCAATGGGTCGCATCGTTAGCTTCTGGTGGTCACCGACCTCTTGAGCTGATTACCGCTCACGTCACCACTACTTGAATGCCATATACATTGCGTACGCATTGTTGTGACACTACTCGATGAGTGGACACAAGCATCTGATCCAGTGGTTCCCGTGCTATTGAAACGCCTAACCATTCATTTATGTTTAGCTAACTGTCCACTGATATGAATACCCGGATCACTATACTGTTCATTAAGTATGCGGTGTAGTAGTGGTGCTCAAGAGGTGGTGAATGCGGTTCGCAAGTCTACCACCATTTCTATAGTAATGATAATGTCTTAAGGGATGTGTTTGTGTGATGTCTGTAGGGGTGGTTCCCGTCAGGACGAGGCACTGGAGCTCTACGTTCGTGCGGCCAATAGCTTCAAAATGGCCAAGAAGTGGAACGGTATGTGTTTTGTTGGCACACCATCTCATGAACTCATCAATTATTAGCAAAACATGACATGAATTGAAACAAATGGACAATAGTTTTGATGGCAAACACATTATTACTAATAATTTATGTCATGTTTTACTTTTAAATAACCGTTTATTTGATACATAAAACACCCGTACCTTTCGCATCCCTGTCCACCACTATACTAATTTACTCATTAGGATACCTGTCTTTAATTGATAGATAACTGTGTTACACCTATTTGTATGCACTAAATGTCTTAACAATTGATTCAATTAGAAGTTTATTGATAACATTGATGCTAATATATCTACCCTTCCCCTCCCTATCCACTCAAACAGCGGCCGGCAATGCATTCTGTGAGGCGGCGCTCTTGCACCTGAAGAATGGCAACAAACACGACTCGGGCACGCATTACGTGGACGCCGCCAACTGCTATAAGAAGGCCGACCCCCAGGAGGCCATCAATTGTCTGATGAAGTCGATTGAGATCTACACAGATATGGGAAGGTTTACGACGGCAGCCAAACACCACATGACTGTCGCCGAGATCTATGAGACGGAGTGCGTGGACATCGAGAAGGCGATCGTTCACTACGAACAGGCGGCCGACTATTACAAGGGCGAGGAGTCCAACACCAGCGCTAACCGATGTCTACTCACTGTCGCCCGTTATTCCGCTCAATTGGGACAGTACCAGAAGGTATGGCCACATAACATACCGTTCAGCCTATTATTGTTACGATCAGTCCCCTTGTGATCCCATTCTCTACTGTTTGTGTTAATTGTATTTGATTTTATCGATAAAATTCGGTTTTGTTGCCAAGCAGTCTCCCCTCACCAGTCCCTTACATCCCATTCCGTTATAAACGTTTCAAATATAGTTTACATAAATCTGAACGCCTTGTGTCCACCCAAACAGGCGGTCGATATCTACGAGTCGGTGGCGAACCAGTCGATTGAGTCGCCGCTCCTGAAATACGCGGCCAAAGAGCACTACTTCAGAGCCGCCCTCTGCCACCTGTGCATCGATCAGCTGAACGCACAGTTGGCTGTGAAAAAGTATGAGGAGATGTACCCGCAGTTCTCGGACAGCCGTGAGTGCAAACTACTGAAGCAACTGCTGGAGCGCCTGGAGGAGAACGACGTGGACGGCTATACGGCCGCCATTCAGGAGTACGACTCCATTTCCCGTCTGGACCAGTGGTACACTAATATATTACTGCAGATTAAGAAACAGATTGAGTCCGACTCGGACATGAAGTAGGAGTTCCCTCCCAAACACACACACCCGTCGGCTTAAGACTAATAAATAATGTCTTGTGTTTTTGGGTTTGATTTTGTTTTTTGTCATAACTTTTATTATTATTATTTAAATGATTTCTACCATTGATTGAATATATGATATAATTTTTAAATTTATTTCTATTATTTTTTAAGTAAATTAATTGATTACTTGATTTGAGAATCAAGTTTGCCTTTCCCAGAAGGAAATCCCTTTCCATTTTGTGTTTATATGTTTGTCTTATGTTTAGACTTTTGTTTAGTACTCATTTATAAGGCTTTAGTATTTACCTAATTTTTGTCTCAATTTCTAATCAGTTTACATTTAATGAAGTCATTATATTAGTCCAAAATTTCACTCATAGTTGTGAACATAAGTACCAATTGTTTGAAATATAAATACAATTATCTCTTAAAATTTAGAGCAATTTAATTGACTGTTTTGTTTGGGAACAGGAGGTTCGGAAATCTAATGATTACATATCTTAGATTATAATTGATAATTATGTTAATTATTCAATAGTAATACATTTAAATCAATAATACATTCGCTACTAAACACTACACACAAAACAGTCTCAATATATTCCAATCATTCCTTATATTTATTATTAATTAATACATTGTGTTAAAGTTAACTATAACTGTAATTATAATATAAATATTATATATATTAGTATACATAATAGAAATTTAAATATTAAACACATTATGTACTAAATTAAACGATAAAATATTTTCAGTCATTTAATACATGACTGACAACAGTGGAGCAAATGCCGGGAAAAATATATAATAATTAATTGATTTACATTTGACTTTACTGTCAAATGTTATATAAATTATTATTATATTATAAATACTACGTTATTATTATATAATAAATGTTTGTTTGTCTCATAATATATACCAACAAAACAGTATATAATATACAGTAATCATTATTCTTGTGGTCGTCCTATCGATTGTCTTATGTTTGAAATGGTTTTCTAATTTATTATATAAAATTACATTAATTTTTGAGCTTTTTGTCAATTGTTTTCTCAACACTTTATGCAAAGTATACAAGAAAACGAAAAAATAATAATAATTATTATTATATAAATTAATGTATAAACGAATCAAATGTTAATTAAATAAATTATATTTGTTTCTGTTAATTGTTTTATATATTTTTTAACAGTATTAATGGAGTCCACTATTAATGTTTGTGTAATTCAAAGCATTTAGTGATATATAAAATATACTGAATTCAGTATAAGTGGTAAAAAAGCTTTTATAAAATAATTTTCATCAGAAATGTTTGTTTGAAATCAACTGAATGAAAAAATATAATGATTTGCAGAAAATATCAATTCATTTATAATGATAGAGAATTACATTTCAAACAATTAGCTGTATATCTCTCACGAATTAGTGCTAAAATCATAACAAATAGGGAATAATTATTAAAATATCATTGTTTTATTAAGAAATTCTCATAAAATTAATATTAATTACAATACATATTCAATTCAGTCATTAGATTATTGTTTAGTAATTATGTCTTTGTGTCCTTCAGTTTGCAAATCAAATGCATTAATAGTTTGCTTAAGAATACATTATATATTTTGTAGGAATATCTCAAAAATATTAAGTTAAAGGTAGGGAATGGGAGAGATTCTGGAGGACAGCCACCAAAAACTGATACCACAATAGACTTAATACTGATTACTCAAGTGATCGTTTTGAACCAAACCGTACTTATCATCGGATTTCTCTTTACTGGGCTTCAGCTCCGATATAATGACTTTGGGGGCCGGGAATCGGGGTCTGACGACCCCTTGCATGTGGGCCGACCCTAACACAGCCGCGCGTTTGGCGGCAGAGCGCCGGTGGCACAGCATAACCATCGCTATGATAACCAACAAAAAGGGCAAAATAATGGCCACAATAGCCATGACATAGGCCGCCCATCTCAACCACCAGAACCCCCTGCCCTGTGACTGGTCCTCCCTATAGTCATCAGTAAATATCCACCAAATAATGGTCGGCCGGCGTGTGGTATCGGAAGCTACCGGTGCCGGTTGGCAGCCAGACTTAAAGGCTACCATATCGTCGTCGCACACACATCTACCGGTGCTCTCGGCCTCCGCTCTGTCGCATATGGTGTTCACATCCATGGCCTGGCACTGGGAGTCGTACAGACAGGACTCGTTCAGCAGTAGTGGCGGTGCGCACAACCACTCGTTGTACTTGTCGTCCATAATCTGCACGTATTGGACACCCGTTATGTAGTCCATACGGCACTGGCATGTAGTGGCGGTGATCCCTGGGTTACCGGTGCCCGTGTTCAGACAGAACATGTTGTCCCCGCACTCGCTGTCCGTTTGGCACCTGTCGTTAACTGCTTTACCTGAATGGCAACCCATATATTAATTTTAAATTTAATTCTCACTAAATTAAGTGTCAAAAGTTAATAACACTAAACTAACACGATACTAAATGAACCTGGTATAATTTAAAAACTAGTTAATAATTTTGAAATACCTATAAATTAAATCATTTTACATAAATTGTATCGAAAACTTATAAACATTAATCAAAAGTAAAATAAAAACAAATTAGTGGCAAACCTTTGAAACTCTTAATATAGCTGTACTCGACATCCGTGACCAGAAGTATGTCCTGATGGTTGCCATCGGGAGTGAGAAAGGCGTCACTCACAGTACACGATATCTGGAGCTCATCCAACCCATTATCCCACATCTTATGTCGGAAGTACCACAAGTCGATGTCAATGGTGTGCCAACAGTGACCCCTCTCAAGATCGCAGGTCCCGTTTGAGCTCTCGATGTGTCCCAACTGGCAGTTCCACTCAAATGCTGGGTTATTAAACGTGGCCGTGATGTCCACTGGTATGTCCAGTATGGGTGAGGTGTCGGTGCTGTCGGCCGTACATAACTTTGCGGTGCACTCCAGTGTCTGATACCTACTCTGTCGGGTGCTTATGAATCTGGGCTTCAAATCGGCGCAAATCCTGATGTCAGTGGCCGCGTATGTGGTGGTACTGGCGGGTGTGGTTGTGCTCACGTCGCTGACTAATCGCCCGGTGCTTATGGCGAATATCGATGAGATTATTAACACGAAAATGTGTTTTGAAAACATTTTGTAAATATTAAACTCTATACAAAATACTTAAAGAATATTCTTGTGATAAAAGTTTTCTATTGATAACTATTTAATAGAAAAACTTTTTATTACAATAAAAGTACAATTATTTTGACTACACTTTACGTAAACTTTTTTGTGATTTCAATATTTAGTCTCTGATTTTGAGATTACGTATATTTTTGCTGATTGTATTGATATTAATAATAGTTTTTGATTGCAATAGATTTCTACATATAATGGAAAAAATGTTTTATTATTTGCTAACAATAATGTGATTATTAATGTATGACATACACAATAAGTACATGTTTTCCACTTTCTCTCGGTATTATGTACTCTAAAAATTAAAATAAGTGCCGATTTGTACATTATTGAGAAATATTCGTGAATAATAATGAATTACAATAATTAATTCAATTTTCTATCAAATTATTATTTTACCTGTATACATTATATACGAATATAAGACTTTATACAATATTTAAAATTTTTATTTTTGTACCAATATTTTAGTGTACACTGTACGAACCATTAGTTCACTATACCCTAGGGTTAATTGTATATTTAACTCTATTGTAACTTAATTACTGTATTTTACTGTAGCTTTTAATAGCAAAGTCATCATAAAAAGTTTTTGAGCTCATGTTGTGATTTATCGATATGTTTCATAAACAGCACTGTTTTCTATGCAATGAAATGCATTGTCACGGAATATGTGTTGAGAATACTTTCTATTCGCTACTAAATTCAGGTTTTACTAAATATGACTTTTATTTTCATTTACAATATATTCATTTCATACTCATTTGAATTGGTGTTTATAGTGTGCGTACTGTATATTTTAGTACATTATACAAAAAAAACTCAATCCAAATGAAATTATTTTTGATAATTTCACACACTAATGAATTTTCGAGAATATTCTGTATTTTTGTTAGTATTGTAGTCAATATTTATTATTTGTTTAATTATGTTTTTAGTAAACAGTATGAGTGTACTAATATTGTTTATGCTTTGATTAGTTTTCCATTAGTTTCACAGTTTCATATACTTTCATAATTAGCAAACATTAAAAATATCATTTTGCAAGAATTAACTGTAAAAGCGAGAGTTTGTTGTATTTATTTCCTGAACTTATTGTACATTTATTTATAGCTGTGTTTTCATTAATAAATTTAATTATGTGATGAAAATCAAAATATAATTTTATTTAAAAATAGAGTAAATCCATG